AGTAGGAAAGCACCTTTTCCTTCACCACCACTTCAACAACAAGCCAATTTGGATTCATCATTTCATTAGACATCCACCAAATAGCAGACGTCCAGACCTGCAGTGAACCCTTCCACAGCCCAACTCAGAATTTACAGAACTTAGTGGAAACTGTTAAAATATCCCAGGAAAGCACAGCATCTAACCCACAAAGCATCTACTATAGCATCATTCTCACATCCATTTTAAATAAACCAACAAAATTATTGSGAAGGTCTCAGTTTTAATATTATAAAATTTCACATATTTTTTTCCAATAGAAGCCTGGATGGTGGATTGTCTTCTTGCAATTCTAATGGGGATGAAATTGCTTAAACCTAAAATTGTTTAGTGGCCCTAACTTGAAAGAACCAGCTTCTTGAGCAAGTTCCACTAAAACGTGAGGTGTTGCAAGTGACAAAGTTTTTGTCAGTGCAGACAGGACCAAAYGGAATTTGCTCATGGCTTTACCTGAGCAGTTTTCAGCGATTTAAACACACAATTGCCTTTTCTGAGCTATTCTACATATCAACAGGCTTCAAGGGGTGCCACCAATTACAAGAAATCCTAAGTTTAGAACACTTCTAGCTATATTACTATCACTTTAAACAAGAAAAACAAAATTCCAGGATATTTTTGTTCCCACCTGGGAAAAGGAAAAAAAATCAATCAAATTATGTTTCACTTGTCTTACAGACAGCTTCACTTTTGAGTGACCAGTTTGGGAAACAAATGTTTTGTTTGAACACCTGTATARAGATATAAGGAAAATACGCAGTTTTGAAAATATCCTAGCCTCCTGATATCCTAAGTTTCTACTGTRAGACGAACCATTTTTTAACAGATGTAGCGAGCAAACACATGTGGAGTTTTACTGTTTTTACTCCACAACTGATGCTGCTCCTCTGTGGTTGGCAGGCTGTTCTGCTGGGACCTTCTGGGGCTGCTTTAGAGCCGATGCATGAGTTGCACCCTGCGAAGCATCAGCTCTCTTTATAAAAGTATTTCCCTCCTCAATCACTTCCCCATCCGAACCCCACATCTCAAACACGACCAGGATTTTAAGCCAGCCGGCCCATGAGACGGAGCAGACTCTGCTCGCAGAAGGTCTCCCTTGCCAGCTGCCCGGCTCTCCGCTGTTTCCCACGGAGGCTCCGCAGGACATTGGGAGGATCCAGGGAAAAGGCAGCCCCCTGACATCGTGCCCGCGCCGCAGGTGGAGCGGCACTGCCGGTGGTGCCTCTGTGGGCACAGCCGGAGCCGCAGGTCTGCAGGGCCAAAGCGCCCACAGGACGGCRGCAGCAGCAGCACCCCTAGCCCTTGCTGCAGCGGCCCCTGGAACTGAAAGAGGCACCACTTGTGTCATCTACTCTCGTTAATTAGCTCCTCCACTTACAAAGGAGGGAGCAAGAGGCAGTTATTTTCCTCCAAACAAAGGCCATAACCAAGTGAAACTTGCGCTCGGGATTCTATGCAGTCCTTGAAATCCTCCTGGCTCTCTCAAAAACCAACTGGATTTCATGCTGTGCAAACCTGATAGAAAACTTTTTAAAAATAAAATATTTCTTTCTCAGCCTGAAACTCTGATTCCTTTTCCTCTTACCTGTACATTCTTTCTTTTTCTTTATTGACAGCATTATTTATAGCTTAAGTTACTCCAAAATACTTCTCAAAAATAGGTGATGAGTTCATGTGTCACARTTCACTTGGATTTTTAGTTTAATTTGACGGGGCAAAGGGAGGGATAGAAAAGATATTTTCAACTCTTAATTCTACTATCTGAGCAACTTCCAAGCAAAACAAGTACCAATCTTTTAATCCCTCATCCAAATACACTAGCAGAGATTCCTATAGTCGCTCTGAGTCTCACCGAGAGTAACAAGGCCCTCCACAAATGCATGCATCTGTAGCAATGAATCTCAAAATAGGATCTTTATCTTGGGATGTAACACCCAACTACCCCAGCCAAAACAGAGCTCCAGGGAATTCMCGTAGAAGCATTTGCTGCTTGCTGCTTTTTGCCAGCACCTAACCCACACAACAAAAGCTTGAAAACCACTAGAAAAACATCCTGAACGCCACAAATCACGCACAAGCAACAAGCACCACCACCACGCTGCTATTATAATAAACAAACAAAAAATGCTGGAGTACTGACCACAGACGTGCACTCCTCTTGCAGGCCTCTGCAGGAGAAACTACCCTCTCTTTCAACATGTGTTTCCAAGTAGTTCAAGTTGCGTTGCAGCCACCTTGTGCATAGACTCCTGACCTAAAACCCAACCAACTCCTTGAACCTTCAGCAAACTCCAATTCTGCATCCAGAGGGAGCTACCAAGGGAGGTAGCACCCATGGAGGCACCCACTGAAGGTGCCCCRTAATTTTCAAGCATAGCCCTGCAGGTAACACACTATGTTGGGTGACACAAAGGACAGCCAAGCAAGGCAGCACCTCCTACAGAGCTCAGAAGGAGGAAGAGGAAAGCGACACCAGGACTAAGATGGGCGACCTGCAGCATCAGTAACTCCCTAGTGCTGCCTAGCCTGGCAAGGACCTGCACCCAGGGCTACACACACCATTAACTGAAGGGGAAGCGACCGAGCTGTGCCATCACTCTGGCCTTCAGGAAAGCAGCACTTGTCTACACCTTTGGGATCCCTCCTCCAGAAGCCATCCAGCTTGCAGAGAGAACTTCCCATTCCATTTCAGAGCTCTCTAAAAGAAATTAATTCCTGTCCATGACCTAACAGAAGACCAGATTGCCAAAATCTGACAGAGTCAGTGTGATGAGAGTCAATGTTTTGACCCTAACTGTCAGCAAGCCTRGAAAGCGAATTATAAGCACAATATGTAGGGCCACTGCTTGGAGCCCTTCACAAGTTACAGGCTGCAGCTCTTACAGTAACCTGCTACCTATTAAAAAAGAAAGTTCTGAAGGTAAGTACAATATAGGTAAACAAGCACAGAGACAGAGGGGCTGTTAAGGCTTCATGCTCATCATCATGCCCATGTTTCCAGTGCTGCAGATATTCTGTATTGGCAGAATGAAAGTAAAAAAGAGGCAACTTGGGCAGATAAGAGAGTTGGGTACCTGGGTCCACACAGGAAATACATTTGCATCTATGGAATGGGCTCATTTCCCACATGGATCTTGGGCAAATCACAAGCAGAACTACCATGTTTAGAGCCAACACCCTGAGCTGAATGAGGGTGCAGTATCACGTTTCCAACCTACTACATGAACAGCACAGAAAGGATCTTCATCCACTGTTTAGCCTCGGGTCATGTCATCACTCAGAGGGGTAAGCTTCATGTGCACAAATMAGGAGATTCAGCAGCCATGAATTTTATAGAAGATGCAGAGGCAAAACCCCACACTATCTGTGTGCTAAGCCCGCTGCCCCACACCAGACACAGGAACGCAAGGCCACATGTGACTGGAAGTTTTTATTATGACTTTCTAAACATCTCCCTTCAACCCCCCACCCCCTTCCCTTCAGTGCTACCCACTAGCTGGACAACAAATGTGCCTTCTTGCTTTGCTTTGACCTTACATCTTTATCTACTAAGCTCTTAAATTCCAGRAGCGTGGCCTAGTAATACAAGGCACTTTCATAAATATGCTCCTCCTTGCCCTACAACTGAAAAAAATAGCTATTATTTCCACCAAGGAGCAAATGTCAGCGTTTCCCCAAAACGTTACCACAAATCAAACCCCAGTTTCTAATTTACCATGCCTCTCTGGTCTCCATCAAGATGCATCAAAGCTCAATTTCAAGCTTTACTCGGAACGGCTTTCAGAGCAGCTACTCTCGAGAACTTCACTGCAAAAGAAACATCCGTTGCCCCTCGCAACTCARAACTAAATTTTTGTTTCATTTTATGGCAGAATGGACAAATTCCAATTCAGYAGCAGAGAAAACAGGTATTCACTGCGTAACCCCTGGTCTGGATCAAGACTGCAAGCATTTCTGCTGTCCTCACATCCTTAGACGCCCCAAATCTCCCATGTTCCTCAACAAGAWCCTCGGTTTCTCCTTGTTTTCCCTCGCCCCTTGGGGAGCAGTTGAGCCCCGGGGTGGCGCCCTGTGGACCCAGGGTCTGGGGTGTCCCAGTTGAGTTTGACTCAAGTTTGGGCACTGCTTCCTCGGAGCAGAGCTCCGGGAAGCCAACGAGGCCACCACAGCCAGCGAGCTGGGCTGCCCGGGGGGCTGCCAGCAGGCAGCAAGGGACAGAAGGCAGGAGGGGGACACCACTACAGAAAATAAGCAGCCAGCTGCCCCCTGCTATAGACTGCTCATTTCAGAGCTCTGTTAGAAGGTACACAGAGAGCCACGAACATCCATTTAAAAGGCTGAGAGTTAATGCACCTACAGCATTTGCATTCTTCTGCCTACGGAGACACACATGTGCACACACACTCGCTCCACTGYATAAAACAAGAGTTTTCTGACAACTTGCCCACTTGCTCCTTCCTGCAGACAAATAATCCTGGAGCACGCTCAGCAATTCTGCAGAACGTACAAAGGCTGATGTTCTACCTTCCTGCTTTTTACATTCTTCATTTTATTTCCACACACCAACCCTTCCTATATACCACATTATTGCGGGCCGGGAGCGGTTGTCGAAGCAGTGGACAGGCACTTCCCGGTGCCACGCTGCCCACCTCGGAGCCCAGGAGCTGCCTGACTGCTGCTCTGCCCTGCGGTGTTTGGAGCTCACTCGGCCTTTAGGGCCTGTCCCGTGAGGCCAGATCTCTGTTGTGTTTACCTGCACTTCCCAAGCTAAGGAAAGCAGCTCTGTACAACACAGGCTTCTAATGGATGCAGGCATTCACAGGAGCAAACGGCATCATTTCCGAGGACACTCTACTGGAACAGCAGCAGGGGCGACCCCCCCACRGGGCCGGTGCAGGGGAAGCGCTGCCGGTTCCCGGTGGCGGGGCCGGCGCCGCGGGGCTCCCGGCGCGAGCGACACTCACCTCGGCCGCCGTCCTGGGTCACAGAGCTCGCACGGACGGACACTCGGCGCAGCCGGCCACCATCCTCACCGCTCGGGCGCGCTGCAAGAGAGCACAAACCACCATGATCCCGCGGCCTTCCCAGCGCCCGCCGGGAGCCTCGCGGGCAGCGGGGAGCTCGCAATCACCCGCAAAGATCAACTCCGCTCTTCGGAAAATAACTCTTTGGGAGGAGGAGGAGGAGGAGGAACCACCGCATTTTGAGGGAAGCGAGAAGCAGGAAGCTGCTCTCGGCTGCGCGCACGGAGAGCGCCGACGGGGCGGAGCACCGGCCCGGCCGAGGCAGGCGGCGCGGGGCTCCTGCCCGCAGCTCCCGCTCGGCAGGACGGCCGCGGGCCGCCGCGCTGCCGGGATGCCGCCCGCGCAGGCACCAGCGGCGCGGGCACCAGCGGCGCTCCCCCTGCCCAGCGCACATGGAGGCAGCGGCGGTGCGGGCAGCGCTGCGGGCATCGCCTCCCAGCGCCTGCTTCCCAACGGTGCCACTTCCCAATGGAGTCGGCGCCGCTTCCCGCCGGGGCCTCCGCGGTCGCCCGCTCCGAGTGGGCACGGGGAAGCGCGGCCTCCCTCGGCGAGCACGCAGGGCGCCTGCCCGCCGCCTCCCGCATGCGGCCGCGCGTCCCGGTGTCTACTGAGGGGAAGCGCTGGCCCCCCTTGGCAAAGTTGGGAAAAAAATAAACTAAATAGAAGGGGGGGGGGGGGCGCCAAGGGGGGCTGTTCTTCAGGAAAAGAGTGATCTGCAAGAAGTGTTTTCAGACTTCAGCCATTCCAGAGATGTTCCAGAGGCTTTCCAGGTTAAGACTCCAAAGGATATCCAGGCTGCTTGGAGCTGTATGAGGTCATCTCCTGCTCCCTATGAATCCTAACCACCCCCACCCCCAGGACTGCCCCARTGGCAAGGCACCCCTTGGATAACCCCAAGGTTATCCCAGCAGTCGGAATAACCCCAAAGCCACACATAACACTGARAACTGATCACGAGGAGCGTATAAAAGCTAGGGAAACAAATCATCAGAGCATGTTTCCTGTTCTAGAAACAGCACCTAGGAATAGGGCACATTTCCTAGCACCTACTGCTAGCAGCTTCTGCACCAAACCCGAGAGACATGACACAAGGCAGGCTGGTTTCTCTGCCAGCTACTGCCAGTTGTTTCAAAGCAAGGATTAAAACCCACAACAACCAGCAGGACAGTGAATCTTCTTAATTTTTTTCCCCCCAAACAAGMCAGGATAAACACAGAGAGCATTCTTTAGGCTGTTGCCTTATTCTTACCCCATCCCCATTTATGTATGTTTTRCTCCATTACCTTTTTGTGACAATTTTGCATTGCAGGAGGAAGGGGGGATGGATATTAAAAACAGTTAAATCCATACACTATCCATACACTAAATCCATAAAAATCAGTTAAAGCCATACACTATTTAAGGCTCAGCCTGATGTTCTCCACACTGGTACTGAGAGGAAAAGGGAAAGGAGGAGGAAGGGGCTGACCTGTCTGCTCTTAAACTCTTATTTCCCCCACTCTGGCAACAGGGCCCTGCACCGTGGCTGCAAGGCGCACACGGGACACAGTGCTCAGCGACTCTTTCCGACATTCCCTAGGCCCCGGGTGCTTCTCGACCGCTGTTTGAAACCGTTCCCTCTACTCAGGCCGCAGCCAGATCCGAATCCTGCCCTGGGAGCAAGTGGAGCGAGCTGCAGCCTGCCAACGCGGGAGGGCAGGGCTGACCTCACCATCGACCAAAGCCTCACACTGGTTTTCGGCCACCGTTCTACCTGCCAAGTGGAAGGGTGTCCCAAAGAAGTCCCAAGGAAGGGATATAATGGACATGGATAAGTAGAGAGCTCYTCGCACTGGTGTGGAAGGAAAGCAGGGAACAGGAGAGGATTCCCAGCAGCAGGGTCGGGCCACCATCCCCAGTACCTGCCTTCACCCAAGCGCGGGCGGACAGGACCGACACCTACATCTCCCGATGGTGGGTCACAGCACCCCACGGTGGGTCACAGCACCCCACAGCTGATAGGAAGGAGCTCACCCGCTGGCTGTATCCCCCTCTCCCGGCCCGGCTCCGCTGAGGCGGCCTGCGGAGCGCGCCAAGCAGCAGCAGGGCCACCACGACCCTGAGGGACCCAGCAAGGGCAGCCAGGGCAAGGGCACGCGGGGCCCCATGGGCACGAGGTGCCAGCCCTTCTCCGAGGCTCCGTCCCTTCCCCGAGGCTCCATCCCTTCTCCACGCTGCAGCACATCCCTTCCTGGGCGCGCGGGCCTCGCTCCTGGCAGAGCTGCTCTGCTCTTTTGGGGACACCATCAGCACTGAACTGCTGCACAGCTGCTCCCTCACTAAGCAAAGAGAACAGAGGTTAAAGGCAGAATTATATTGGAACTGGGAATACATAACTCACCCACTCAGGAGCGCAGATTTAGTGAGTATTAAAACCAAGAATCCATAGAAACTGCGAGGGGTATTGTGCTGCTGCTGGTGGGTGGACGAAACAGCAGGAAAAGTTAAAGCACAGCAGGAACTTAACTCGGGGGAAGAGGGAGGGCTTCTCCCAAAGCTTTTCCGATACAGCGCAAGTGCCTGGGCTTCCCTTCAGATGCAGCTAACCCCGCTGCATCACCCTCGCGAGCCACAGGGAGACGTGAGCTCCCAGACCCACACGCAGCCCCAGAGCTGCCGCTCCAGACAGGCCACTTGCGGCCTGCTCTGCTGAAGGGACATCTACGAGCAGCGGAGGTGCTTCCCCTGGTGCCCAAATGGAGATCCAGGTTTAAAAGGGCACTCATCAGGCAACAGGTGCCCCAGAAAAAGAGCTGAAGATCCTCTAATATACAGTAAGCCTATAGCTATTATAGAGGACAGAAACTCACCTCAGAAGAAAGAGTTGCAGTAAGAAACGGCAACCACCTGTAAGCACATTCACTCACGTTCCTGTTTGTTAAACTCACATAYTTAAGTGATGAGTTAGCAAGTCCAGGTACTTCCAATACAACAGTTAGCATGGACCATTTGAACTTGGCATTTGTATCTCATTTAAACTAAAATTGTCAAAACGCGTTTATATTTGCCAACCTCCGAGCCTCTCATGTGCTAGATGAAAGGCAGGTTGACATTACAGCACGAGACTGCCAGCGCATTTGTTCCAAAGGCAGGACACCGACCTACTGATGGAGCGAGCACGTTTGTCWCAGATCTGATGTCCCCTGGCCGGACAGGATGACTTCTCCGGCCTCTTACTGCTTTGCTGTGACCATCAGAGCTGCTTCGACAAACAGGAGGGGAAGGGGGAGGAAGATTCACAGGGAAGAAGCAATACCGATGAATCCTGCTCGGACGAAAGCTTCCTTTAACGGGCTCCTGCTACCCAGCATGGAGATTCCCATGGCAAGGGGAAGCAGACGCACACAAACTCAATTGCACCCTTAAAACACTCCAAAACTTAACCTGGAAGGGACTACCAGTTAGGACATCCAAACAGTCAACCAGACTGGCAACACACATCTATGATGGTGATTCTGCCTCCTATAGACTCAGAGACAAACTGATTTTACATGAATACACACAGGTTGTATCAGTATCAATAAATCAAGATTCCCAAAGAAACGCCATTTTGTTATTCCATTTCCATGAATCCAATGCTAATTGCTAATCCTTAAACAAGATTACCTCTCCACTCAAAATGGATACACCCCATTCCCGAGTTACATAAACTACACAATACCAAACCCTAATACAGCATCAAGCAGATCAATGGATTTGGGTTCATTCATAAAATACCCCATAACACGCAACCAACAGTTTGTTTATTGAGAGCGAGCAGAGTCATTTAACGGCTCTTGCAGCTTCTCAGAAGTGGTACTATTTATTTCCAGGCGCGTGCAAGTCTCCTGAACTCCGCAGTGCAACAGCGGCATACGTGAAAGGACAGATTCCCATCGCCAGGAAGCTATTCCCTCATTGCCTAATAAATGAACAAAAGACAGGACTGCCCCATCAGCTTACAGTCTGAGACAAAATTCATACATATGTAACGTGTAGAACATTCCAACTAAATAGTAATAATAATAATATCCTACATCAAAGCAGCCTGTTCTCCTTCTCTTCCCTCCTCTACACCRTTATCCCCAGAAATTATTTCCCGTTTCTTCACTGCTGAAGATGGCAGGCACTCAGTGACAATGTACAACGTGGCAGAATAACATCTCAACACCGTTGTCCTTCTTACCGTGAGCTTTATTGTAAAACCACGATTGGGGGAAGTTTAGAGGTGCAGATTTTCACTTGATGGAGACCATGTATTAGTTCTGGCATATCAAGATGCATTTTCAAAATAAAAATTCTTTAAAATTACTAGAGTTTTGTTATGCCTTTACTTTAAGGACGAGAGTTGTTCTCTACACGATTAAAATGCAAAACAGATTTTTGAAAGAAAGTTGCATTAGCAGAAGCTTCTGTTTTCTAGTCCTCCTAGCAGGAACAACAGATCACAGTCATATACATCCCGCTTTCCTTCCCAAATGTACCGTTGCAGTATCCCATAAGCATATTCTTAAAAGAGGTGCAACAGCTGAAAGGGTAGCTGCAAAGAAAGCTATTTTATTCCAGCAATTTGCATCAAGTTTTATGGTTCCTGTCTTCCCTCCTAAATRGAAAGCTAACTGTGATAAGACATCAAGGCCAACTAGAAACAGCTACTACACACAGCTATTTATTCGAATAATTTCCTTTAGAGCACCTGCTTTTGGCCAAATCCTGCCCTTTTTTCTTCAGATAAGAACTTCCAACAGTTTCACATCTCGTTCTCCAAACATTTCATCCCATTCAAACCTTAATACGTTTAAAAAAATAAGCCTTGCCCGTTAAATTTGCCTTAAAGCAACACTGGAAAACCACTGTTACAACCTGATTTGGGCACAGAGGACAGAGGCCCGCATTTTTTCCGGGCACTGAATCACCCCACACGTTGGGAAGGCCGAGTTTGGTGCTTATTTTCATGTCATCAGTGAGGACTGTGATCCAGCACAGGCCGGGACCCCGGCACC